ATATATGTCTGTGTCTGTGTCTGTGTATGTGTCTGTGTCTGTGTCTTTGTCTGTGCCTGTGTCTGTGTCTGTGTCGTGTCTGTGCCTGTGCCTGTGTGTGCCTGTGTGTGCATGTGTGTGCATGTGTGTGCCTGTGTGTGCATGTGTGTGCATGTGTGTGCCTGTGTGTATGTGTGTGTGTGTGTGTGTGTATGTATGTGTATGTGTATGTGTATACGCCTGTGTGTGTGTTTGGGTGAGTTTGTTCGAGCTGTGTATCTGAACTTACGTCTGCGCGTGTGTGATTTTTTCATGTTTACTTTGTACAAAATTGCTGAATCAAACGATGTGGCGTGTGAAGCCGATACAAAATGTGAGGGTGTAGTCAGCAGTAATAATTACGTACGAGAAATAGATTTCAATTTAATGAAGCATGTTGAGATAAAGCGTTTTGGTGGAGTCTTCGGTTTATACTGTAGATTATTTCACTCTGTCTCTTGTGAAGCGTTCTTTTTTTATCAAACGATAATCTGTTGTGTCTATCATAGTTGACCATACTCGAAAGCACATCAGGCCTTGGCAACTTTACATTTGCAAGAAGGAATTCGATGATAGTGAAGGTGTAATTTTAACCGAGAAAAAAACCCCCGCAAGTATGCAAATGCATGCGTGTGTATATGTTTAATATTGAGGAGATTGTGTCAGTTCCCCAGTGTTTATTTTGATATGACGCAGGCATACCGTCATCAGGACAGAGATAAGGGGTTTCGATATATGTATAATGTGTGGGCACGAAGCAAAATCATGTGATTTATTAGCCGGTCAAAACATACCTACCTGATTCTTTAATCACTACTTCGGTTCATACGTATCCTTTGTTTCGTGACGATTGTGAAGTTCAAATTAATACGTTCAGTATCTGTTATTTTCTTTTCATCATCTATCGTTATATATATGGAAAGAGAATTTTAGACCGCAGCTCATCGATGCAGAAAAGTACTGATCACAATAGTCTACTACTAATACTTCCTAAATAGAGACATGTAATTGCCGAGTCATATCGAAGGAGGCTGCGCGTATACTGCATTTACCTCTGCGGAAGCTCAGTGATGAATTTCATTCGAGATTTTATTGGTACCGACGGCCACGTGTCTAGCATTTGAGCACAGCTGTTTTGAAAGACCTCCCCCCACTTTTATCACCCGCTTTTGGGGGAGACATCATGTGGCGACACGAGCGGAGACGAGATTCACGTTCTCCAGTTAAGAGTTCAAATGGCACCGCAATTCCTTGGAGCGTTATGGACTGTTTGCACATGTGTGCTCTACTTTTTCTGGCTGACTCGCACATCGGTGTGCTCATATGTGATTACAAGCTCATCGTGAGAGTAGCAGCCGCGGTGTTGGGATCTGAGTTGGGCCGCACGAAATGTTTTTACGCCTGGGCTCGGTTGGGGTTCTTGTACAGGCTAAGATGGCGTCCCGTGCCTCTATATTGGCGTATGCATATGTCGGTCTCGTGATTGAGAAGCTCTCGCATATTCCAGGCAGAGAGTGCCGGAATATAAAATCTTCCCATGGTCGCATCGCAGCTTCAGCTTATTTTATGCTGAATGGACCGACTCCAAGGTTAACTCGACTTGTGGCTGAGGCGAGGGCCCAGCCAGGCCATCCATACAATGAACATGAGTGCCACTACGGACACACAGGCGATCCACGTAGTCACCGAGCAAACAAGAACCACCAGCACACATACTAGCATTGGCGGAATACTGTATAAACCAGGGCAAAAAAAATGGGGGTTGGTCAATCTCGTGGCAAAGCAACTAAAATTTAGAAAACCTCCAATTGGTTCAAGCCAAGGCCATCGATTCGACTATTTACGATCATACCATATAACGATTCCTCCAGTCATACCCCCGGGCACCTGAAACCCGTCATCTATGTTCCTGCCCAGAAGCAATTCTTGATCTGTAAATATGACAACCAATTTAGTAGTGCATTTAGAGAAAGTGATATTTGCCCTTAATATATACCTACATATCTTCATTAAAACGTTGAATTTCAATCGACTAATCGTGCACTCGTCCAAGGTATGTAATGACTGGGCCTCAATTTGCGTATGAATTCCACTTTTCAACGTACCATTCGCGGAGAAGACAGCCCCTGATTCTCTCATCTCCAATGTTTTATGCGTTTCGGACTTCAATTTCAGATACGATGCGAAGAATATAACAAATGCTATACTATCCAGAAAAGTCGAGACCTCTACCTGTGCAAATAGAAAAGAAAAATGAACATTGAATCACCAACAAATATCCTATGCTCAAAATCAATCCATCTGAAAGACTATCATGGGTCAAGTTGAACTGAACATACTATCCAACCAGTGTATATATCACTACAATTGCAAGAACTCCCTCTTTGACAACAGTTAAGCGTGTGCAAGAAAAAAGTTCAAAAAAAATTGAGAGCTATTCTGTAGACAATCTACACATCGACAAGCACCACATTCGCCTTAGAATGACAACGGCAAACACAAGAGTCAAAATTAGGGTGGGATTGTATTTACACTCATCGTCAAATATCCATACACCACAGACTCAGACAGACGAACTCACTATATCTTACTAGAGTGTCGAAGTCGAAGAGAATCAGAGGGGCCACACACGCTGAGAAAAACAACACCGAGTAATGGGGTGTGAGGAACTTAGGATGGACTCGATCGAGGATTTGAGGCGTCAGTCCCAGATTGCTCATGCAGTAAAGCTCCCTAAAGATTTAAAGTGAAATGAAATGAGTTGAGCAATTCCGAACACTGCATGTTGAGATTTGATCTTCGATACATTATACTGTGGATTCTCGCATTAAAAAGTATTGGTTGTCGCGCCAGCGTGCTTAAACTCGGAAATTTTCACGCCAGACGTCCACAAAAGCAAACATAAGTCTGCTCGAGTATGGAACCGACATCTCCAAAATGAATTGTACTATATACAATCACCGTGGGTAACGTATGCACCTGCATACATACCAGTGTGAATAGCAAATAGTGCAATCGCATCAACTTAATATCTATCTCAGCATGCAATGTTTGGACTATACACAATTTTCTATATAGTCATTTATATACCGTCCCCATACCTGGAACTACCCAGCAAAAGCGAATTGAGCTGACCGAGACTGGCCATTGCGCCCACAACACCCATCACCACAGCAAACCATGGTCCACCCAATGCGAGTGCGACACCGGTGCCGAAGTATCCATCCTCCCATAGATCGTAATCCATCGCACCGGGAACACATACGCCTATCTGTACATAAGTGATGTACAAAAGCAATACAACTGTCTCAGTCTCACGCTTGCCATATATTTGCGTCCCTCTTTGGTGAGTCGAATTGTTGGCATACTCGCACACAAAACAAAAATGTACACTAATCCACAGATCACTCGTTTGTTGTACATCGTACACAATACTTTCTCACAATATGTTGCCTATGATTGATGTTGAAAGGAATGCGTTTCTTCAACACCGATTTTTAATGGCTTAGATCATATTGCAATAGCAAAGCACTCGACAGTACAGAAATATCTCATCTACTCGTTTTGCAAGAGTAATTTTTGGGACTGTGTGACAGAGGAAAAACACTAGTAAGGGGATACCCCCATCTCCGTACGCTAATATTTGTGTCACTTACCATTAACGGGGCGATGTAGATCAGCGACACCAAGGTCACGGTTATTAGGAGGGCCTTCGGGTAAACTTTTCTATCGATGGGGAATCGGGAAACAGCACACGTCAAAAGCGAACAAGAAGATAACATAAGCCATCACTCTGCTGCCCCTTGCAGCTCGTGTATATCAAGATTCAAACATTTGAATACTTCCCAATGCGCGCTCATAAACCGCTCTCAACACTCGTATAGGCATATTTACTCGATACCAATCCTGCCTCGCTACTGCACTTTGAACTATCGCAGCGTAAATATGCGGAACTGAAAGAAGGCAGGACACTGACATGGCGATCTTAGATATTCTTGAACGGTATAAACATTGTTAAAGAGTCTGTTGATGTCTAAATCAGATCCAAAGGCACGAGTATCGCTCAACTGTCGAGCAGTGCAGTGACCCTACACAAAAATACAACATTATCCAAACCAAACCGAGGAGAACAGCCCGTTAAAGTTCATACTTTGGATTCTCGACCTCTCCGGCACAAGCGCCTATAATCGGGAAAAGTTAGAGTGGATGAAAAGGGGGAAATGAGAAACGAATTTGCCAACATTCCGCTGTCGGATCAGTGCAGAACTCACTTTACATTGCGGATGCAACTACCGACCTAAGCTGTGAATTTACAATATAGACCACGTACTCTTCCATATGTACTGCACGCGGGTGAAATAAAAGTAATGATATAAAACAGTAAAGTTAACTGTACCGAAACAATACGCGCGCGGAGATCAACTTTTTCTCAATCCCAAATGCAACTAGAAATAATTGTAAAAAACTTCAAAAAAAACATACCGGCCATATCGTATCCACTGGTGTTCCAAACTAAGCACGTCAGGAAGGTGGCTGTGTTCAAGGATTAGTGTAGACATTAGAGACCGAGCTCCAGGAAACGAATAAGCTACTTAAGTAATCCTGATTCCCATATAGGCTGCATAATACATATTGCGGATAAACACTTGTGCTAGGACTCGTCTATAAACACAAGTTCTATCAGACAGCGGTATGTCAAGATAGAACACCACAAGGTATGCAGATCCCCCCGTAGTTTGTATACATTCTAACTGGCCTAACTACAAGCATTCACATTATCGTGCCCTCTACCACTTGCACAAACCCACAACGAAGCATTGAGTGCGTTGTTAAGCCACTTGTCAACGTATTTACTGAATATGTATGTGCTCAGTGTAGCGCGCTAATTAGAATGTGTCAGAGAGCCTACCGAATTTGCTGTCGAAGGAGAATGGTTTGAAGTCAAATTCATCCGAAATGGCCCAAATCGAGGTATCGATGTACTTGATGCCCAGGGCAACGAACAGAATGAATGGAGATATGCACAAAAACGCAAAGACTACGCTTGCTGTACCGACCATCTCAACCCCTCGAATATTTAGGTACGTGATGAAAACAAGTGCAGTGAATCCAGCCGCAAATCTGAACATGCAAATATATTCAAATTTAAGTGAGTTTATGGACAAAAAGTGAAATATTGGGAACGCTTGCTTACGTACACAAAAGAAAATATAAATAAGTTCGAAAAGTTCGCTAGCATCGCTCTGTGTTTTTTAAATCAAATTGCCTCGAATAACGCTTAGATGTGGAAATAGCTGCATGTCCAATCAATCTCGATTCCTAGTATTGCGACAAGCCACTCACCTTTCGAGGGATGACCGTTCGCCTGTAACGACCTCCATGTAGTCCAGCACCTGATATTGATACACAATCGCAAGCAAAGGCGAATCGTAAGCCCATTAGAAAAATAGCAAATCTCCTAAATTGTCACTTCGTTACGCAGAAGAATGCAATTCATTAGGCAAATGTGTACCTCAAAGCTCGTTTATAGACCTCGATGCGTATATACAAGTGGGTGAGATGGAAAATATAAGACATGTATATGAACATTGAATTGAAAGTTTAACTTGAACTCTGAACCAAAAATCTTTTTTTAATTTACAGATACTATGGACCCAGAATTCGATTCTGAATACTCGCGATAAGACGATGATTCACAACAGCACGGAAATTCAAAAGCCTTCTGTATATGCGCTGATAACACGACCGTATTGATAAACATCATAAAAGCGGCAATAGCGACATTCGTCTCAATTTAACAGGCCAATCCCTCAAATTCAATGAGTAGCTCCAAACGGTTGCGCAATTCCGTTTATGACACTACTATATACAACTACATGTCAGAGGAACAAGGCAAAGATTAGTACCTACCATCACGGGTGTTGCAGCCGTGTCCAGCAAATTTCCGAAAAATGACATATATCCCTGTATGTACGTCCACTTCAGTCCGAATGATCGGTGGCACCACATCACTTGTCCGCCCGTTTCAGGATATTGAGATGAGAGCTAACGACAATAAAAATGGAAATGCACACCAAAACTGGGTGAGTGAATCGGGATGAAATTGAATTGCCCAGATAAGCGCAGTCGGCACAACTCGCATAGTCGCCATTGCAGCGCACCTAAAGTTATCAGTATATCCAAGTACAATGACAGCATATACTTTCGTTTACTCAAAAGCAGCATCCAACTGGGACTGTCTTCAAACCTCCATACTAAAGTGGCCTAAGATTGGCAACTCACCTCTGCCGTTACAAGCGCTATGGGAATCGACCACACGATGGGCATGATTATCAACCCAACAATTGCATGCAAAGGGCGGCCGCTTGAGATGAGGGGCTCGATACCATACGGTCCGCCGCACACCTTTAATCGGCATATTGAAGAATGGATTTTAATTCGACAGGTGTGGAATAGATGGACTGGAACCAATCACGCAAGTGGTTGTATCGTTCAGCGTAGAAATTGTGCAAAAAGATGTGGAATGGCGGACTCTGACGATCTTTTGTCCAGCAAATTCCTTTAGCTGTATTTGACCTCTAATTTAGGAATGTATAAAAACAAATATCACTTCAAAGTCGGAGAAACAAAAATCAGAGAGATTTGTACACAAATCAGTTTTGGCATTATCTTCACAAAACCAAAGGCACAGCATGGCTGAAATATCGTTTTTAAGTGCGTACGTGACGCTCAGCTACACAACCCTAGAACCATAAAATGTACTAGCTATCGAATATGTCTCACCTCGAAGAATATAATAGTAGCCAATTGAATCACCCCCAATCCCTGGCGTACCGAAAGAACGGATGCTGCAGATCCCATACGATCCCTGTAAAAGCAAAATGAAATACATCTCCGTTAGCAGTGAGAAAAACAATCAACCACATACTCGGCAACATTGAAGAATTGAGAACAACTAGCCTGCACTGAATTCGTTAATTTCTACCTGAAACACTTACTACCTATCAGTAATAGAAGTAGCGAGTAAAATACTTGCAAAATTGAACAATCTTACACATAATCATACACAAAT